CTCACCAGCCCATTGCCAGTTCCAGTGGGCCTTAGAGGAAGGATTTAGATTGTTTTTTTTTCAATGTGTGTCCATAGACGAAATTCCTCCAACCCACAGTGGGCCTCAGAGGATGTCTCCGTCTCTCCATGGAACAGTTTTAGAAAATTTGCGTATTAGAGTTTGACTTCTAAAGATATAACTCTTAAGTGCTGAAGCAGATTGCTGTGAACTGAGGAATCCAGAAAATAAATATTGAATTCTGGCGTAGGTTTACCATTACTGCCTGAGTTCTTTTGTTTCTTGGGGAAGATAATTACAGAATTCCATTCCAAGCATAAATGTTGTTCCTTTGTGTGTAAGTTGGAAAAAACAAGTGGATTACTTTTCTGTTTTTGTGTAATGGTACTGATGTGATAAGGTTTAAAAACAGGACTCTAATTTTTAGAGCAAAGACAGAGTTTTGGTGTCTCAGACCTCTTTTTCATTCAGCATTTGAAATCTGACAAAGTTAAAGCTCATTTTTTAGAAGAGAGTACCTGTGTTCTTCAAAGTTGGCATTGAAAAATCAAAGGATTCTCATTTTTCAGGTTGTTCAGATATGAAAATTATAGTGTTTTATCAGCGTGATCTGGTAATAACATGTTCATTTCATCTGTCAAACTTATGCAAGTAAGATTGAAGGACATTGTGTGGTTTTCTGTTGTTAGAGTACAGTATTTAAGGCTGGCAAACAGTCAACAAATAAATGAGAAGCTTTTAAAAATAAATAACTGTGATAATAGCTATACATTTACTTACTGCAAAATATTTAATACTTCTGTATTAACACTTTTGTATTTTAATTTTCCTTGCAGAGTATTGGGAAAGGGTCGCTGTGGTGCATAGACCCAGAGTATAGACAAAATCTAATTCAGGCTTTGAAAAAGACACCTTATCACCCGTACTCACACGTGTTCAATACACCTCCCAACTCTCCTCAGGCATATCAAAGGTAAGCAATTCAGAATTTTTTTTTTTTTTTTTGGTCTGCTGAAATTGCATTATTTTGGCAGAGATAGGCGCTGAAACTAATTTAATAGGCTGTTTGAGATTTTTAAAATAACTGCAGATAAATAAGAAAGAAATTAAGTATTATTAGGAGACATATCCATTGTACTTCCTGTAAACCTTACCGCTTCTGCTGTTTCAGAGGAATGTGTTTCCAGAAGGCTCCATGATGGGTAAAATAATGTCTTCCTGGGTAGAAAAATTTACAGAGAAAAGTTGACAGCTTTGAGGTCTCAATGTGGCATGTTCTGTTGGGATGAAGGTACAGGACGCAATCGAGCAGGCGGTTCCGACTCCCCACAACCTGACCAGCCTCTGCTGACAACATTCAGGGAAAGCTCTCTCCGCTGTTGTCGTTACCAGTCTCCATGTGGACGGTGCTCCTGAGTGATCATTTTGTTGTGGTTACTTGGTGTTTCCCTCTTCAGGGAGAACGGTAGAGAACAATGGAGACTTCTTTTCCTCCTCACATGCCTATTTGTTTGGTGACAGTGAGGTCATGGGTACCTTTTGTACAAATATTTAATTGGAGGGGAGGGTAAGTCGCGTGTCATTTTCTTAAAAATCTTATCAATGTTAGAGTGTAAAAAGAGCCGTGTAACACAGAACCAGATTTTAAAATGGATATTATCTATACATAGTGCTT